AAAAAAAGTTTTTTTTCTGATAGCGGTAGCCCCTCGGCAGGCAATGGCGAACCTCCGAGTGTATTTCTGCCATTAAAACAGCTTTTCTGCAATATTTGAGATGCTGAAAAAGGTAATATAACCTTTCGCTTAGGCTTAAATTAAAGCTAAAACTTTCGACTACTATCCCTGAAAATACCATCCTTGCAAATTGACCTGATGGTCACTGATAGTAATTTATTGAACAGCAAAAAGGTAATAGAACCTTCCACGTAGGCTTAAATTAAGGCTTGAACTTTCGACTAGCAACCCCTGAACATTCCGGCACCTTGACCTTAAAATCACTTATAGTCATTTATGAATAGCCAAAACTGAATTTTGGCTCAATTATTTTTTTCAATAGCACAATTTTCCAGTATTTTTTTTATTGTCCAATAAATGACTATAAGTGGCCTTCGGGTCAAGGTGCAGGGATGGTATTTTAGGGGATAGTAGTCGAGAGTTCTAGCTTTAATTTAGGTCTAACTGAAAGGTTCTATTAGGCCGTCTATGATTCCACCAAATTAAAGGATCTTCTTGTCTGGGTATAATGGGTAGCTGTAAATATTTCTCCATTTCTCTATCGTTTGGGTATCCACATCACTACAAACACTGGAATCAGTATCAGAGCCGTTGGCGATTTCTTGGAAGCATTGCCAAATATCCGGATCTCGCTCTTCAATAGAAGCTTTAATTAGAGTTCGGCCTTTTTCAGTAGGTTTCTCCATGCTAACTGATTTATATTTTCGAATTATTTAGTTCAACATCTTCCCAGGTTTATTGATGTCAGAAAAGGAAACGAGTTTTAAAACGTGTGTCACAAAATATTGCAAAGCCTTGCGGGGCGATTCGGGAAGCGAAACGATATGTAAACATGCATATTAATTCGATTTTCATCACGTTTTAAAATAAAAATAAAAAATCAATCACGCGTTTTTCTTAGCGGTGTTCATTATTGTTTATCTTTTGTCTTTGACGTTTCTCCTCTATTTACCAAAAATAATCGATAGATCCGGGTTGCAGTCGGAGAAGTTATCTTTTTAATAAAGGATTATATCATAACTTGGATTTCAGAAGAGAAATAATTACGTATTGGATAGTTCAGCTCGAAAAAGCAGATAATCTATGTAGCTAAACAAAAAAAAACCGAATATAACAAGATTGTGAAATTTATTAAGGGCGGCAGTCTACTGGATATCCCATCGGATTCCGAATCCGGCTCTTATTTTTTACAGGATATCCGGAATCAGGTTATCCGGAAAGATCTCTATCCGGCACAACATTAGTATGTATGTACATACGTATATGCATGTGCGTATGTTGAGAGAGAATATAACTAAAGTCTGATAATATACAATACTTATGTATCAGAATTTCGTTGAATTATTGATGTGTATACACATTTGGTTTCGGTAGTGGTAAAATTTGCGAAGATGTAACGCATAGCGCAGCAAAAAATTTCGAAGGACAGAGACGAACATATGGTATTTGTCTCAGTGGGTGAATTTGGTGGACTAACTTGGGATCCAGTTGGAGTACGGGTAGGCCAGTTTAGAACGAATTGGTAACTAGTCTAGACCAGTCAGGGACCAGTTAGGTTGAGTTTGGGACTAGGCTGAAACGAGATACTTTTGTACGATTTTAAGACCATTTGGTTGATTTGAGCTCCAGTAGCCGTTTTGAACCGTTTGAAAGCCTTTTAAGGTGTTTATGCACGCTGGGAGTGCCGTATTAATATATGTAAGTACCAATCTATTAATATCCTAGAATTATTTTAATATGTATTGCAAAATTTTATACAGACAAGACTAAAACGAAAAAAAGAATTAAAAAATTGTTGAAAAAAAACTTTAAAAAAAATTTAGAAAATAATATTTCTCAGTTCCATAGAACTTGTTTTGATAACTTTTGCTTCTGAAATTTTAGCAAACGCTATTAGGAGTCCTCATCTAATGTGATAAAGGGATAAATGATAAATTTATCAGTTTATCCACATTCTTACATGAACACACCCTGGTAAATAATTGCATAAAAATGTTTATTATTTAGCTTGTACGGCTAGTTACGTTTCATTCTAACCTCGTTCATTGTATTCATTTGTTTTTTATGTGTTCGTAGCAAAATCGACCACTTAGTAGTTAGTCAGGGTTGAATTTTACTGTAATTTATACGTTTATCCACCAAAATCGTTTGATAAAGTGATAAAATTTGGTTAGATAGATTTCCATACAAAGTTTGTCAGTTCATTTATCATTTTATCAAGTTAATCAGCAGTTTATCACTTTTGATGACGACCCCTATTATAAATAATTTATGGGAATGAAAATGAAAAGCGGGGGGCGCATGTATTGAATTGATATGAAAAGTCTATACATAGTATAAAGGAAAGTCGAGATTCTTTGTACGCGGTAATCTCGAAAGCTACTGAACGGATTTTTACGAGATTTTCTCTAATATATTCTGTATCGATAGGAGAGTGACCCTTTTTATTTAGAATTTTAATAGGGTTGCCACCTGTGTAAAAAACTATAAGATCCGCACCGTTCGTTGGATTACAAAAAATGAAAGCGATTGATCTCTAGAAAACCACTAATGTCTTATTTTTTAAATAGGGTTGCCATCTGTTAAGAATATTACTATATTCAATCCTAATAAGCGTAGGCATCAGTTCTGCACCGTCACTGTCAAATGAAAAGACTTAGCATCTGGATGTGTAATAATGTATTATTTTTCTGAGTAGGGTTACCACCTGTTTAAAAACTATAAGATCTTCACCGTTCATTGGATATAAAAAGGAGATACCAAATGAAAGTGCATGGCCTTCGCATGTACAAAAACTTTAATTTCTTTGAGTAGGGTTGCCACCTATTTAACTATCTTTTATACATAGTATAAAGGAAAGGCAAGATATTTTGACCACGCTACTGAATGGATTTAGACAAAATTTTTTAAGCATATAACAAACGAAGTACATGATGACATATGATTTCTTTTTCCAAATACGTAAATGTACATACATATGCATGCATTCAGCGCGTGGCCGACTAGTAATATATAAATGAATGTGGGTATATGAATAACGACCGCTTAAAATCGATCTCAAATTTGTAGAAATTTTAGTTCTATGTTATGTAGTTTGACTATTTTCAATTAAATTTAAAGCTTTGTATTGCATGCGCTCCACGTAGGGATGTCGAAAAAACATTGATGCATCGAAAATAACGATGTTTTGCTTCGATGCGTCGAAAATTTACCACTCGATGTATAAAAAGTCGCTTTCACAGTATACCAGTAGAAAAGCTTTTTGTTGTTGGTGCTGTTAATTTGGTCCCCATAAAGGACTTCAGGGTTGCGAGCAACTGTTTTGCCGCATTCAGGGTGCTGTGCAGCAAAATAATGTGGTGAAAAATTTTAACTTCGGATAAATGGCGAGAGAAATATTGTTATGCGCTTTGTAAGTAAACATGAACGAAATAAAATATTTTATACTTCAATACAATTAATTTGCGCTATTTTTGCAATTCGAAGTTATCTTAAAAATATTTGTAGTGAAATATGTACTTTATGAGTTAAATGGAAACTATGTTATATGTAAAATTATATTCCGATTTACTTCAAATAAATGGTGTAAAATGTTTTATATGTGGATCTAATTTTAATAATAATATTTATTACTTTCATCTACATTGCTTTTATTGTATGTTTTCACGAGTATTTGCAGTTCTCTGCAATTGTCTCTGGCCAACTATACACGCTAAAGCTAAATAATTTCACAATTTCTACCCTATTATAGGTTTATAGTTTAATAAAATGTGATCAAGTGAGAAACAATTATTTGAATCAAATGATCAATAGTGAACGCACTTGGAGCAAATTTTGAAACACGGAGCGAATTATGCATATTAAGACTAAATAAATTTTAACTTTCTACTATATTATACGTTTGTATTTTAATGTAATATGATTAATTACTGAAGAATATATAAACTCCGATCAAACTTAACTACTGAATGCTTGAACGCGTTCAGAGCGAATTTTAGAATACGATATAAAATATGCATATGAAGACTAAATAATTTCTTACCTATTATAAGCTTATGTTTTAATATAATATGATTATTTACTGAAGATAATATTAATTCCGATCAAATTAATTGTTAATTGTATTAATTGTTCGACAAACTATTTAAATCAACGCGCTCGGAGCGAATTTTGGAACACTTCATAAAATATTTACAGAGGTAGTATATTATTTGGTGGAGATCAAAATGTATTCAACCAAGTGCGATTGAATTTGACATTGCTCTAAGAAGAACCATCCATAAAATCAAATTGAAAAAACTTTTTAGGAAATTTGAATCGTTTATTTATATTTTTTGACTTAATAGTAACTTAAAAGAGAGCCGCAGTGAGTTGTCAATAACACCTTGTTTAATACACCCATGATACAATTATTTAAAGGTAAAACCGCTCGCTCAATTCGTCGGTCATCATTTATTTTTTAAAGTTTGTCTACTTTAAAAAAATTGAAATTTTGAGAGCAACTCAAATGCTAAATAAAAGTAAAACAAAAAACAAATAGATGAAAATAGTCAAAATTTCTTTTATTGGAGACTGAAAATGAAAATGTATTTGTGAGATTGAAAATTTTTCCATTCCATTTTTTTAACCTATTTAAAGAAAAAGGGAGGACAGTCGGGTCTTCGTAACCAGAACGACCGGAATGCACATTGAAGTCGGTTGTATTTTTCTCTTAAAATTACTTGTTATTATTGAGATACAGTTTCGCTACTATTTAGAGATTTCTCGACATACTTGTTGACATTTCGGTTATTTATTATTTTTCTTATTAGTCGTTTATAGGTTTAGGACTTAAAGATTCATTTTGTAAATATGGATATATAAAAACAATTGCGATATTTTATTTTATTTTAAATTATGGACTTTATTCGTACTAATTTTTATGTTTAATAGTATTGAGAACATTTTTTGGTTTTGTTGTATTCTTTTATTGCATGCCTTAAACTTTTTTACTTTAAGTTATAATGGTGAAGGTATGCCTTCTGCCTTTGTCAAGCACTTATGCTAGGTGCGAGAAATTTAGCCTATGCGCGTAAAAGCATAGCATTTTCGTAGATTTCACGAAAAATCGGACTATGATGGATTCTGTGATAGCCTTGGTTAGCTCGTGCGATTATCGTGCCCCAGAAATCCTAACAAACGACAAATGGACTTTCCAATAATAGTCGAACATAAATGACCAATGTGCATCTATATGAGATACGTTGCTTGCGGCAAGTTCACAGTTTAACGCCAGACCGTAAAGGTTGGAAATCATACGAACAGCATAATCCCTACATTTGACATAAAAATTGTTGTAAATATTTGCACAAACATAACCATAAACAGTATACCTTTTGAGAAACACATTCATGAAGCGCGCACTTGCACCCTCAGCGATTGAACATCATGTTTATTTATTTCTTTGGCTATATCTCTGGGCGGTTTATTTGTGCCAGTTGCCTTTAGTGATTTTGCCAATGACATGGCACTATTGCACTGATACTAACTAAATTTAGCCGCAGTTGCATTCACACGTGATATAAAAGCTGGTGACGGCAAGCTGTGGGAAAGCCCTGGATATGCCGTTTGTTGTGTGGTGTTTGTTCTGCAACAATAGCTGCATTTTTTTGTAAGCGAGCGACAAAAGAACGCTCAACTCGGGTAAAATTTCCTTTTAGCTACTTAAGCAGCCCTGTTGATGGCTGGTAGGAAACCTGTGATTAGTTTAACGGGATTTAGATACAAAAACCAATTTAAATGAGTAATTATGCGAGGTATTTGCGTAATATATGGAAACAGAAATTTCCCTATCCACTTTCCCATTAACAATTGACAATAGAGCAGTTTTTCCACTTACCAACACTACCCTTCAGGTCGCGTATTTTTTAACCGACCTGGAAAAGAATGCACCTAATAGCCTGCAATGATGACATGTCCTATAATGTCGACGAACAAATATATAAAATTGAAAATGACTATTGTGTACTCTTGATTACCTTCAATTTCAAGTCCCTCGTCATGTTTTGTATTTTCTAATTACATATGTACGCAAGTGGGATTCAGATGCTCATACAAATACAAATAAAAATGTTTAACATGCTCTACATGCAGCTGGAGCTAATGGCGAATGTATGCAGCCATACTTATTGCTGCAGCAGCAGCGAGAGATTTCGAAGGAGTGCATCTTGTCTGTTAATGGGAAAGTAGGATATGAATTGGTACTATGGAACTCCAATGCTCACATTATACAATAGATGTGTGGGGATTCCGACTGATTTGGAAGACCACCCTTGGTCACGTCCAGAACGTATTTTCTAAGAGAAAAACCGCAGGGATTGCAGTAGTTTTCCTTTCAATCATCGTTAATGATGCTATGCTTGTAATTTATGGTCTGAAAAGAAAGAAAATTGCATTAATCAAATGTTAATATATCAAATCAATAAATTTCAATAATTTTTGCCATTTCATCCATATTGTAACTATCAATAGCTTATAAAGAGAAGTGTAAAGTTATCTTTATCTAAAACTAATAAAGTTAGAAGCACGAAATTTAAGGATGCGATAGTTAACATATTAGTCCTTGACATATATTTAAAAAAATAAATAAATATTGGAAATTTCCAAGGATATTCAAGGATAAAGTTTTAAAAGGACATTTTCAATACTTATTCGTCCTGGTGCACCCAAAAATTAATTTTCTTTCTATTCTACAGAATTTTTCCTTTTAATTGTTACCAGAGAGAAAAGTTAAAAACGCAGTTATACTCTATTTGGCTCCTAGTTTTGTGAATATAATGGTGTAATACTTTACAACGCCAGAGTACTAGTTTACAATATTTAACATGGGTGGTCCAAAAATGCATGTGAAAAATTAAGTCGGAATTTTTATACTCTCACCCCCTAGGATTATTCTATACCGAAAAAAAGTATATATTTATATTTTATTTTGAAATCAAAAAATATTTAGAGGTCGCTCAAAGCGCCCAAAGTTTTCCATGTATTTTATATGGGAAAAAACAACTTTTCGTACAAATGGTATAGAATAGTTAAAAATCAATATTTTTCTACCAGAAAACTCAGTTTATCTGCAGGAGATTCCCAATAATAATTTGTTTATTTAACCATTTTTTCATCGAACTATAATTTATAAGTCCGCCAAAAACCCACAAAAATCTCGAAAATGCACTGGGGACCAATAAAAAATCGTTAGTATTAAAAAATGGTTAAATAAAAATTGGGTATATTATTGAAAGTCTCCTGAAGAGAATCAGATTTTCCGATCGAAAATATTGATTTTCAAAAATTCTAACCCTTTCTACGAAAAATTTTATTTTTCCCATATAAAAATACATGTAAAACTATGAGCGCTTTGAGCGCCTCTAAATATTTTTTGATTTCAAAATAAAAAAATAAGGGTATACCTTTTTCGGTATAGAACAATCCTAGGGGGTGAGAGCATTACCATTCCACTTTACTGTTTTCGGCCACCCTAGTGTACACATTTAACATGTGGTATGAAATACCATTATATATCATTGTACACAGGAGCCAATACATTTTTTTTATATATATGGTATATATGACGTTTTTGAATAGCAATAATGTTATCATTTCCACTTCCAGTGATTAAATATGTGTTCGAAAAGTATTATTCGAAAGGTCTTTAGTACATTCGTTCTTGGAATTTAGGTACCGTTTAAATACTAGTAGTTATACTACAATTTCTTTTTAAGTCATCAAAAAATTCCTTGTCGTTTAAAAAATAAAGGGAATGCCGCATTATACTAAAGCCGGCCTTTCGACATAAGCTACTTTTCCATACGAACACAGAAATATTCAAAGAATAATTCACGTTTTATTTTAAAACTATTTTTAAATTGAAGTTCACTTTCAAAAATTTTAATTAGAAGTCGGTTTCTCTCTTTTCGACTGGAAGCAAACTTTATACTTAAGTTCCTCTCAGTTGCTCCGTTTGAGCGTGGTATTGAAAACCAAAATTACATATTTTTTTCGAACTATGGAAACGTACAACTATTTATGGGCTTCGTCTGTATTTCGGAAATACTATTTCCCCATGGCTTAAATTACTTTTTCAACTGCGCAAAAACTTTGAAAGACTAAGAATTCGCTAAAAAAAAGTATTTAACTCGCTGTCTTGTGTAAAAACCCTTTTACAATGTCAGCAAATTGAGAAAAAGTAATTGTATGATGCCGGAAAGCCATTCAATTATTCAAATTTGTTGTTATTAAACTGAAAGTTATTTTCGGATAAGAAATGTTATCGACAAAAATGTGTGTGCTCAGAATTGAAAATTCAGTACAAATCAGTACAAATTTTGAAAAATCATGACATTAGCGTACTGATTGAAGAAATTAATAAGATCAGTACGAGAGTTGAAAAATCAGTACTGTACTGATAAAATCAGTCGTCTGGAAACCGTATTTTTTGTGAAAAATAAACGTTGAAAAGAGTTTTTAAACTTGATTATCTCATTATCTTAAGAGCGCACCCTATTGTGCTTATTTTTAGTATAATATAATTGTATTATCTCAGACTTTTTTTCAATGTTTTCTAATATTCGTTCTTTTGGCATGCAACAGCAACCATGCGCTCGATTTCTCGTGGGGAAATTTGGTCCCCATAAAGGACTTTCACCACGAAACAGCTACAAAAACAAAAACCTTTTCTACTGGTAAACTGTGATCGCTTTGTTTGAAATTCAAAGAAAGCAAGATGCAGTTTTATAGCTCATAAAATTTTAGAATAATAAAGTGCAAGTTTCAATTGCTTTGATTTTCTTTTGCTGACTTGCACTTCAATAGACCAAAATTTTATGATCTATAAAACTGCATGCTGAAAAATGTTCTAAAAACCCATATTAAAATTATAAAAATTTAGATGGAAATTTGTTGAATTTTTCTAAGTTTTATATAAAGTTTGAAACGATGTTACATGGTTTTGTTTAAAGCATGAGCACTATTTTTATAAAAAATAACAAAAAAATATTAACTTAAAAAACGTATTGAATAATTAAATAAAAGAAATCAACACGTGAACACTTGAATCGCTACTACTCTATAAATATAATCAAAATAAAAGTTTGTTAAATTGTTTGAAATTGGTTTTGTTTTATTTCCATAGTGAAGGAAAACTCTATGCGTATCGATGCATCGATGTACGCCGTCCGATTCATCGACTTGAAGAAAAACATTGATGTATTTTTGCCATTGGCATCCCTAGCTCAACGTTTTTCATTTTCAATCTCATAAATTATTTATAATTACTTTTGCTAAAATTTCAAAATCAAAAATCATCAAAACAAGTTCTATGGGACTGAGAAATATTATTTTACACTTTTTAGTATAAAAGCGTGTTATATTGAAAAGTTTTTTATTTTATTTATTTAAGAGTTGTTCTTACTTTTTTTCAGTGTGTGAGAGACAATGCTTCTGTTAATTAATTTGTCTTTGTATTCTTACATAATTCCTGTATTTATTGTGGGATTTTTTTGTTTAAAATACTTATAAAATTTTATTTATTTCATTAATGTTCAGTTTNATACTTTTTAGTATAAAAGCGTGTTATATTGAAAAGTTTTTTATTTTTTTTATTTAAGAGTTGTTCTTACTTTTTTTCAGTGTGTGAGAGACAATGCTTCTGTTAATTAATTTGTCTTTGTATTCTTACATAATTCCTGTATTTATTGTGGGATTTTTTTGTTTAAAATACTTATAAAATTTTATTTATTTCATTAATGTTCAGTTTTACATGGAATAATAAGTGTTGAAGCGAATATATAAATTGTTGAGTTTTGCTTCGTATTGCCTCAATGGATTTTTTATGCGTTTTTTTAGAATTTTTTACGTGGAGTATCTGAATTTATTGGTTTTTGAAAATGCTGGAATGCATTTTTGTATGAAAGTAAAGAACTTTTTTATGCGGATTTCTGAGGAATGCATATACCGTATAAAAAAGACCTAAGTGTATATAAATTCTTATATAAACTATCTTAAAGCATAATATACTCGTGTAAAGGGGCAACCCCTTACATTTTTAACAGCAAATGCAAAAATATCCGTTGTTCATGAAAAAATTCAAAAATCCTTGTTCCTACGATATTGCAAAACTAACATTTTAGACGCATTTATACAATTCTCAAATTTTGCTGGCAGTTTGTAAAACCCGCTAAATCCACAAAATTTTGAAGAAGAAAACGAAGAAGAAAGTGACTGTGACATAGAAATAAACTCAGTAATTCAGTCCCATCTCAAGTCACTAAATTTGAGATCAGCAATTAGTGATTTGGTTTTAATTGGGTATTCAGTCAAAGCATTAAGCTGCCTGTCGAAAGGGTCCGGGTTCGAGTCCTCCTCGGGCGTAGAGGATTTTTTATTAGTATTTTTTTATTTTTTTTATTAGTTTTATTTTTTTAATAACCTTTAGATTTTAATGTTTTACAGCCGCACTCAGAAACGTTCATTAAATTAGCTCTAACGGGCACTTAACTAATGATCGTTAAATCAGTTAATTAATGTTTCCTCTCAGGCCCAATTTCGGGTGGCCCATTTAAGTAGAAAGTGTTGATTATATTCCACCATTCATTTTCAGATCATGCATTTAATCTGAACTTAAATGGTCAATGTTGGCTATTTAAATATGAGATATGCAACCCTGTGTTTGTACCAAACAACCAAGATTGATTGGTAGGTTGTTTAATCAATCCCATCAAATCCCACCAAAAAACAATCAGCTGTTCAGCACAAAATGTAAACAAATGAGCAAATGCAACAACAATTTCAAGGAACAAGCAGCAGTGCTGCCAATTGTTTGGCATATTTAAACAAAGTGGATCTGAAACACAACGAAACTTAAATGGCATTTAAACAACAATCCACAATTAAACTTAAGTGCCATTTAAATATTCATTTGAAATTGGCCCTCAGAGTCAAAAATTATGAAATGAAAAATTTAAGTATGGCTTCAGTTGCGGCCCTTTTTTTGTGGCATCACTCACTTTTTTCGTTCAGTTTGAAATCAAAAATATAAAAATAAGTACTTGTATCATTTTGCGCGCATTGCCTCAACAGTCGCAATGGCTGAGTCAGCAGAGCACTGGCGCGCCATTCGAGAGATTCGAGTTCGAGTCCTAGAGCAAGAAAATTTTCTTTTTCCTTTTTTTATTTATCTTATTTTCTTGCTAAATTTTTAAAAACTAATTTTATTTAGTTTTTTTTTCCTTTTTAATCTAATTTCCTTTTTATTTGTAGAATTTATTGTTTTAAAAAGGAAACTCATTTTTT